TCGTTTCCTGTAACTGAAATCATTAAATTGGATATTTCTAAAATTTCAGTTGGTCGAAATCGGGGCTCTTAGGAAAACGCTTATGATTCCTGAGCAGCACAAGCTAAAGAGCTGGGCCCTGTGTATATCGATAGAGAACAATTTTCTCTATCGAATGATCATATTAGAATTTCAAATCCAACGGGGAGTCTTTTCGCTAGGCAGCGCCCAATATGTCAAGCGAAAACTCACCTGATTGATCAATTGTCAACCAATCAGCTTTCGACATTTCTAAATAAAAATATTGTTCTCTTTCGAATGTTGAAAACCGCAGGTCTCTAGCTGCTTCCTATCCGGAGTTATTCAACTTACAACCGACTCCATTGTTCATTGAAATAGATATCAGTTACAGGAAACGAAGATCTTATTTTTGTTAGAAAATTAGATCTTACTTAATTAGATATTACTTTCACTCTCGCACTGACCCATTTGCGTCACTTTTTGGTAGTGACCTCATACAATATTCCATGTTTGACGATGTTTCTGAAGGACGTGTAGGCAATGTTATTCTTATCAATTTCAAAGTTATATGACACATGCCGATAAGAACTAGAAAAAGTAGATTACATCATGGGGTGCTATTTTTTAGGTGTTATTTTTATATATAACACCTTTGCTTTTATAAGCAGCACACAGAAAAAATATATAAACATCTTATATGAAGTTAAGAGAAACAATGTTATTCAAAATTGTCTTTGCGTTGTGTTTGATGTGGCGTGTTGAAACAATAGTTTACCAATGTGATGCAACTGATTCATGTGGTTGTTCGAAAAACGATGCTGTTTTGACACGAATTATTGGTGGTGAAACAGCTGTCAGTGAAAGTTGGGGCTGGATAGTTTCTCTTCGATTTTTTAGCACACATATATGTGGTGGATCTATAATAAATCCAAATTATGTTTTGACAGCGGCACACTGTATTAAAGCAATAACAAATTTCAAATACGCAGAAGTTGTGGCTGGCATAGATACAATATCACAACGAAATGGCCAAGTACGAAAAATAAATAAATATTGGGTGCATCCCAACTATAATAGGATAACATACGAAAATGATATAGCGATTATTAAATTATCAAAACCGTTGAAATTAAAAGACAAAATATCAAAAGTATGTTTACCAACTGCAAATTATTCTACTCTGCAAGAATATCCTGTACCTGGAAGCAACTTAGTTGCTATCGGTTGGGGAGCGAAAAGCACTACATTTTCGGATAGCTCGGACACGCTGCAACAAGTGACAGTTCAAGCTGTATCAAAATTGGCAAGTACATGTACAATTACCATAAAAAATCCGGCATTACAATTTTGTGCCGGCGTAAATCAAGGAGGAAAAGATACGTGTCAAGGTGATTCATAAAACATTCAAATATTATACGTGCTACGCAGACAGACTGCTAAATTAGAGCGGCAGACAAAAAGTGATAGCAGTGTACATACACTACAACAGATCATGCCCTAACTAATGAATAATGCACCAGGAGGACCATTAATGATGTTCACAGCGAATAATCAGTGGGAGTTAGTGGGAATAACATCTTATGGAAAAGGTTGCGCGTTAGCAACGCATTCTGGAGTGTATACTCGCGTAGTTTATTATAAAGACTGGATTGCTAGCATTAACGGTGCAAGTAGTTTTGGTAAAGACAAAATAATACTCATTAGTTTTGGTCTTGCGGTGTTTTGCATGTATATTTACAATTAAAAGTGTTTTTTCTGCTATTGGCGTTCTGTTTAATTCATATCCATCGTACCGTACTGTTAGAAGGCTTGATTTCTTCTAATAAAGGAGGGGAGGGGGGGAACCATCATCAGGAATGGGAGTAAAAAGTTCGAAATACTCTACTCGTACCACTTAGTCATATATATATATATAATTTTTCTATGGATACTGTATTCTTTCAAAACCAATGTGCAAAAGAAAATATTATTTTAGTATTTTTCAACTGATGATATAAGTAGTAAAGTAAAACCCACGAATGAAAACACCTTCTTGACAAGATATGAATCACATATCACTAAGAATGCTTTGTCATACTTCTGTTCGGAGTTTTTCTCCATCAACAAAGTAAAACTGGTCTGTAATAGACCATTCAAATGCCTTATAATGCATTTAGAAGTGAATAGTAAGATTACTTCTTCAAGGAAGCCAAATAATATTTTCAACGGAAAAACATGAATATACCTAAGAGTCATTGCACGAGAAAGATGACTGTTTCTCACAGAAGCGTGCTCAATGCCTATTTCAGATTTTTTCTACGTAGCCTCATCTTGTAGAGCATGGTCAAAAACCTATAAATCTAAATTTGTAGGCTTCTCGAACTTTTCATTCTGTATGTATGGAATTTTTTCAACTGGAGTAAAGTTCGAGAAGTTATGCGCGCGAAAAACCTACATTTCGTTTCACTCGTTTACGAGACGAAATGAAACCGCGATTTTTTCAGGATAGGTAGTACTGGATATCTACCATATAATGACATACAAATATTACGTATACCTCTTATCCCATACATTACAGTAAGACCAAAGCGGAGCTTCATGGAGCACTTTTTGATCGATCTCGTTATGACGAACTTAAGTTGAAATCGGACTACTTGCAGTAGATAGTACTTAGTGTACTATTTGTAATTACCGTCAAAAGTTTGGGATAAGCAAATTTGTTACAGAAAGTTTTGAGACCAAAGTCGAAGTAAACGGTCGGCATAAGCATTCATTTTTCTGTCTTAATGAAAAATCATATATTTTTCAAAAGAATACCATTGGATAGCCCGTGAAATTCTCTACAAACTGAGCTGATCAGAAAATCTACACAGATGGAGACAGTCATTAAAGATATGCAAAATGAGCGTTTGAGTATATGCACAGTGTTTCATAATCATAAGAATTCCTTTGTTTTTGATTTTTCAACAAAAGCTAGAACCAATCTGAATACTGTTTTGGATAGCACGAAGATTTTTCTATCAGATGAGGTGCCTACCGTCATTGTATGAGAAAACTTGATAGCTGAGTTTCTGGAAAACCTGAAGGCTAGAAAACCAAGTCTTTGGTTTTTGGTCAGAAAATTTTCCAAACCATATAGCCCGATAGAGCCCAGAATTCTGAGGGAAGAAACATATTTCCCGGCTGTCCATAGCGCTTTTTCACTGGAATATTTTGGTAACTTTCACGCCCTTTTGACGCCATTCGTAAATCAACTGCAGTTAAAGGCAAAAGCGATGGAGACACTTTCGGGACTTCCAGAGGATTTTCCAGGAATTTGGTTTTAAGGCAGACCTTTTTTTGTGAGTACTTAGGACGACAGATAAACAAGTTTACTACAAAATAAGATCTTTGCGAGCTTTCAAAGATGTTTTGAAAGGCTTTGATTTTGGCTCACTTTTTTTCTAGCTTTCAGGAGCACAGTGGGCATCCAAGCGGACATTAGACGAAAAAGTCGATTCTCTTATTTACCAAATATAAATACTGCAAAAAATAGCCCTTCCAATTCTCTATCGAATGGTGTATAAATGTCTATTTTGATGT